CCAGGTCAAAATAACCTGACACTACCCTTTGACCTACAAGGTTGCTGTACTGTATACAGTATCTTGGAATTACCTTATCAATGAAATTGAAATAATACATTGGTGTACTGAGTGTTTGTCAGAATGCACTGCTCAGTGAGTATAATTGGAAGAATGTGGTCAATGACAAGCACCAATTTGACCTTGTTCTTCTATTTCTCTTTAATGAGAAGCCATTGGCCAATGGGGTGACATTAACGGCATTTATTAACTCTTACTGAACCTTAACCACTACAAATTGGCCTCAGGTAACTTACCCTGTTGACAGATTTGTTTTTAATTGACCTATGTCAATTACAAGTGACAATACTTTACCTTATCTGAACGTTGGTCCTGTACAGAAACAACTCCTAGTCCCTAGTACCCCAGGAAAGTTGTAGGGCTGGACTGGGGTCTGTTTTTTGGACCGGGCCTAACTGTTAATAGAATGCTTGACATACATTGAGTATGTAAAACATTAAGAACACCTGCTCTTTCCATGACATAGACTGACCAGGTGATTCCAGGTGAAAGCTATGATCCCTTATTGATGTCACTTGTTAAATCCACTTCAGTCAGTGTAGATGAATGGGAGGAGACAGGTTAAAGAAGGATATTTAATACTTGAGATAATTGAGACATTGATTGTGTATGTGTTCCATTCAGAGGGTGAATGGGTAAGACAAACATTTTTAAGTGCTTTTGAACTGGGTATGGTAGTAAGTGCCAGGCGCACCGGTTTGTGTCAAGAACTGCAATGCTGCTGGCATTTTCACACTCAACAGTTTCCCGTATGTGTCAAGAATGGTCCATCACCCAAAGGACATCCAGGGGGGAGGGTGTGTAACTCAATATTAGGAAGGTGTTCCTAATGTTTGGTATACTCAGTGTATGTTCATCATCAGAGGACAGGGCTCTTAGGCAGTGGTTCATGTAACGTTACGAGAAGTCACTCCCTTGATATTGCTACCCCTGATCTGGTGTAGATGAGTTTTAAGTGGCAATGGGACCAGGGGAGATACTGTAGCAGGGGCTCAGGCCCCTCAAGTCGACAGCCCATTCCCTGCAGGGACTCTGTCCTGGCGTCCTGGCGTAGCTCTGAGCTGGCTGGCCACTTGAGCGAGTGCGTCAAAACACAGGCTGGCATGCACTCCACTCACCAACATAAAAGACAACTGTTGCGAAGCTCCAAGTCCACCTGCCCTGATCCAGCTAACACTTACCAAACTAGCTTTGTGAGAGCTTATTAGGTTAACATTGCTTGGCTAGCCAGCGCTGTTCAGGCTTGTCTTCTGAGAGAAAGCTATTCCTCACTATGACTATAAAGAGGTGATTGTCAGACCAACTGGTTTAACATTTAGATTAGGCCTAGTCCTCGACTAAGAAGCATGTTCAATTGAGATTCTCCATTGAAGGTGCTTTAATCCAAGACTACACACTTAGAAAAGAGGGTTCCTCAAGGGTTATTTGAGAAGGGTGATGGTTCTATGTGGAACCATAATGACTCAAATAACCCTCTGAGCCCTTTAATGATTATTTGTAGTTCAGAGAAAGGTTCTTTCCTCTTTTATTGATAATTAAAATGTAGGGGCGGTGGCTCATTCGAATATTTTGGGACGAGGTTTGCTCACAGCTCTTTTTGTGCAACCGTGAGAGAGAGTGTCTTGCATCAATTGAGAACTGTTGTCTAAATCAATGGTTCTCAATTCTCTCCTTAGGAACCCTTGGCAGTTCCACAGCTAGTACAACTGATTCAACTTGTCAATTAACACCTGGAAATTTAACTATATAATATGGCTACCCAGAAAAAAGAATCCTGTATGGCTCTTCAAAAGATTCTTTCTAGAACCTTTGTAAAACCTTTGAGATGAGGAAAGGTTTTTTATAGAACCATTCTCCATAAAGATTCTATAAAGAACCATTGAAAAGCGTTCTATTCAGCACCAAAAATCAAATCAAATCACATGTTATTTGTCACATGCGCCAAATACAACAGGTGTAGACCTTCCTGTGAAATGCTTACTTACAAGCCCTTAACCAACAATGCAGTTTTAAGAAAAATTAAAGTTAAGGAAATATTTACTAAATAAACTAAAGTAAAAAGAAAGTCACATAATAAATGGTAAATAGTTCGGGTAGCCATTTGATTAACTGTTCAGCAGTCTTATGGCTTGGGGGTAGAAGCACGCAGGCATCGCTTGCCGTGCGGTAGCAGAGAGAACAGTCTATGACTAGGGTGGCTGGAGTCTTTGACTGTTTTTAGAGCCTTCCTCTGACACCGCCTGGTATAGAGGTCCTGGATGGCAGGAAGCTTGGCCCCAGTGATGTACTGGGCCGTACGCAATACCCTCTGTAGCACCTTGCGGTCAGATGCCGAGCAGTTCCCATACCAGGCGGTGATGCAACCAGTCAGGATGCTCTCAATGGTGCAGCTGTTTAACTTTTTGAGGATCTGAGGACCCATGCTAAATCTTTTCAGTCTCCTGAGGGGGAAAGGCGTTGTCGTGCCCTCTTCACGACTGTCTTGGTGTGTTTGGACCATGATAGTTTGTTGGTGATGTGGACACCAAGGAACTTGAAGCTCTCGACCTGCTCCACTACAGTCCCGTCGATGTGAATGGGGGCGTGCTCGCCCCTCCTTTTCCTGTAGTCCACGATCATCTCCTTTGTCTTGATCACGTTGAGGGAGAGGTTGTTGTCCTGGCACCACACTGCCAGATGTCTGACCTCCTCCCTATAGGCTGTCTCATCGTTGTCGGTGATCAGGCCTACCACCGTTCTGTCGTCGGCAAACTTAAAGCCTGTGTGGAAGCACCTGCTTTCAATATACTTTGTCTCCCTCATTTACTGAAGTGTTTCCATTATTTTGGCAGTTACCTGTGTACGAGCACTGCCCCAATGCAAAGTACATACTACACTGAGGTGTCATCTAGGAGCACTTCACTAGCCTGGTCCCAGATTTGTTTATGCTGTAGGTGTTGACAAGACAGCACTTTACTAGCCTGGTCTCAAATCAGTTTATGCTGTAGGTGTTGACAAGACAGCACTTCACTGTCACTGCAAAGAGATAGGCTGGCAGTCACAACATGTTCCTCACCCAGTCACAGGTTTTCAAGACCAAGGAACTGTCTGGAGTCATAGAATTCTACACACACTGTCGCTCTCATAGCTTATCTGTGTCACGGCATTAATATTCACCTTATCACATTTAGTCCAGGCTATGTTTGGAACCACACTCATGATTTGGGTGGTCCCCAGGATCATGAGTGCTAGATGACATTAAAAAATGAGGATAAATATCTCGCTGCACCCAGGACCATTTGACATAAACTTTTGTTGGAGTGAATGTCACAAGGCAGAGTAGAATTTCAGAAGGTGGGCCAACAACCTTAATTTGAAAGTAAGACACATAATGTTTATATCATGACTGTTTATGAAACAGCTCTTAATGGGTTCTGTATGACTAAGGACGTATAGGACCATAAAATGTGATTATTGTTGGATTTAATATGTTGTAAAAAAAAATCCCTTCAGTTTGGAATAGGGTCTCCGGAAGCATTCAATGTCAGTTGACAAATTCTATGTAATCATGTGTTTATATTGGAGTTAAACCAATCCCGACCCCCGACCTGGTAGTGTTCCTAGAACTCTGTGGAATGCCATGTGAGAGGCAGCCAAAGCCCACAGCGGACAGCTGCTGAGGATCTCTGTGTTCTAACCAGGGAGAGGGAGGGAGGGAGGGAGGGAGGGAGGGAGGGAGAGGCCAGACTGCATTCTCTCATCCCCCTGGAAAAGTATTACCCCGATCCCCTACCCTACCCCTCCCATCAGACAGTATCACATCCACTTCCCTACCCAGCCATAATGGCTACCACTGGACAATGGGCCTTAGGAGTAGCTTTATATAATGATAGTGAGGGATTGGCTATGAGACACAAGAGGGGCCTGGTGTTGATGATTCTAGCTCGCAAATGACAGAGAACAAATGTGCAAACAATGTAGTCTCATGATCATCCATCAGGAATGAAACACACACCGGTTTAGAATAGATCAACACTTGCTTGAGCTATTCACAATAATAGGATAATAAGTGATATGAGAGGGGGTTAAGCTTACTGTGATAGGAAATTATCCGCATAAATAATCAAGCAAAATCAGCCGTCACCTGTTTTGGAGACTAGACTGTCTCTACTTCTGTTTGTGCAGGCTTTGGTTCCACCCTGGCACTAAATAATCTGTTTCAACTAATAAACTAATCATGGTAGTCAGTCTGGACCTTGACTATTTGAATCAGTTAGGTTAGTACTGGGCTGGCTTTGAAGATCAGCCTGTTTACATCCAGTAGCTCTTCAGGAGTTGAAGACCCTCCTCAGCTCTACCTGATTCACATGACATGGTGAACTCACATAGCCATGTTGCGTGTGCTTTTGATTTCTCGGGGAACCAAGAATATCAGTAATTTCCTCCTCAAGAATGTTAGATGCAGGTCGGCAGGAGGCCTCTTGAGGTCATTTTAACCCGTTCCAGTCTGTCTGTCTGCCTTACTTGCTGACTGGTTGGCTGTCAGGACCATTGTGTCCATTGGGGATTGTGTAACAGGAGCGGATCACAAATCTTTTTTCCAGAGGCCACAGATGAAGTGAGTTTACTGATAGTCCACTGTTGGAAACATTATCTTTCTCTTTAGACCTATTGCGCTTTATGTATCAGCCATTTAATTTAATTTAAAAAAAAGTAACTCAAATAATTGTGCATGGGATGGAGAAGAATGGTTGATCAGGTATAATCATTTGCATTTGTGGACGCCTGTGTGCTTGTGTGTGCATGCCTGTGTAACTGTGTGACAATATTCTCTCTATAATATACAGTGAAGCCATAAAAGCCCATTGTCTTTCTGATGTTGGGGAGATGTAAAGGTCTGGCTCCAGTGTAGCCCAGTAGTTACATTATATTTATAGCCTTAGATAAAGTGGGCCGGCCCACCCCAGTCACCCCACTGCCCAGTCCACGGGTACTGCTGCTCTTAATCCAATCAAGCAGAGACTAGGACTGGCCCTCTCCCTCAACTCTCTGTCTACTCTGACTCCTCCAACAAGAGTCTGCTGCACTCACAGGTAGGAGGACACTTCTCCGGACACTTCTCTATCCACTCCGGCTCTGGTCCGCTGTTCTGGTAACTGACTACTGGTCTACTCTCTTTTCTTTTTAGTCTTCCTTTGGCTATTCTAGACATCCACTTGTTGACTTCTATCTGTTCCACTGCTCTCCATCTCACTTGTTAACTTGCAGCCACACACACAGCTGAGGCTGAGCTGCACAGCTGCAGATGCTTATTCAGGCGAGAGTTTGTTCTCTTTGGCAGCAAATTAGCTTTTGGATTTGTGAAATTTAGTGATGCTTTTGAGCTGACCATCTCATCCTTTTATTTTGGAATTAGGTGAAGTTTGTTGATGTTTGTTTGAGTAATTTAGCTTCAGATTAGTTTCAAATACTTTGATAAATATAACTATCAGTAACTACCCACTGGGCACACACTGGTTGAATCAACGTTGTTTCCATGTCATTTCAATGAAATGACGTGGAACCAACGTGGACTATATGTTGAATTGACGTCTGTGCCCAGTGGGTATGATTTAGAATGACTATTTGACAGTTAGTTCAAAGGGCCTTGCCAGTAGTCTACCCTGCAGAGTCTGAAAGTTTAATGTCCTATTTACAGTTTCAAATGAATAATTCAATAGCAGTGCATAGATAGAATACAAGCAGATTTCTTTCCACATCAGGCCACAACCTCTCAACCCTCTTTGGCAAATTCTTAGATTGTACTCCAAATAGGCCTCGAATGTGTGTTCTTGTGCACATTTTTTGATTTGCTGCGAAAGAAGTGATGCGAGATGGACTGAAAGCTGAAGGGTAGTCTTTGAAAACAAAGAGCGGCTGAATGCAGGAATCAATGCAGTGTGGCTGGATGAAATGAGATGGAGGTTTGGGTGGGCTGGGCAGTTGCCTGAAGGGCCTCTTTTTTGGAGTGGGGTTGCCCCTCCTGTTATGGCTAAAACCTATCTCCAAGGTAGGGGTCCTGGAGTCTCTCATCATCGTCTTTTATTAGCCATGGTGTCATGGTAGTGTCATAGCAATTTGTGTGGCCTGTAAGACTATGGCCCTGCAATGAGATTATGGCAGACAGGAGCTAAGGAAACAGATGGTGGTGCTGGGACCAAGGTCTGGTCTGTAATAGTATAATGATGTTAATAGAGATCCATTGTAGACCTTGAATTAGACAGGAGATTGAGGGGAAATGAGACCTTGTTGGTCTTAATGTATGAATCCAGGTACTGTACTAAAAGGGTCTGAACTACTGCTAATGCATGCCAGAGGTTTCCAGCATGACTCTGATTTGCAATGGATGAATTGAGGTCTTTGTTGTGGTAGGGGAATAGGACAAGAAGCAAACTGAAATGAGATTTTTTGTTGTTATAGGCTACTGCATGTGACAGTGTGTCAGAACTATACTCATGGCTTATTCTGAAAATTGGAAGTATCTACACATCATGACACATCTGATACCCAACACTATTCTGTGAGGGGGGGGGGGGTATGCCAATGTGCTGGTGGATAAAGTCTGCAATGCAGGTTTGATTGAATTAGCCTATTTCTTGAGACTTCAAAGGTCTTGGGTTGTCCTCGACGGATCAAATTAACCTGCAAATCAAGCATAAATACCACTGCGGAACCTAGTATTTGTGAAGTGCATGTCTCTGTCTAGGGATCACTTCGATCTTGATCACAAAATCACTCAATTCCATTTGTGGAGGGGAACGAGTTACGTTGAGTGTTGTGGTGTGTGTGGAGGAGAATGAGGAGGTGTGTAGCTCTGTTCCAAACTCATCTCATTGAATCATGGACATCAAAGCCAGAACACCAACTCCCTGCCCCTGCCAACAACTGCTCCAAATACTTCATCTTGTCATCCTGAGAATGTGGATCATCCGGGTCCATTCCAAAACGGAGAGAGGAGGAAGACAGGGGAGTCAAAGAGGGAGAGAGGCCTAGAAATATCCACTGCTGTCGTAAACCTCGGCCAGAAACAACCTGTGGAATGAATGCTCCCTATTGTAAGAAAGAGATACGCAATGAAAGGCATCACTACATACCTCATTGTCAATTACTTCAAACTCCGCTCCTCTGCAGTGTTGTATTGTGTACTAATGTGTGGCTAGCACAGGAGGCTGCTGAGGGGAGGATGGCTCATAATAATGACAGGAACGGAGCCAATGGAATGGCATCAAACTGTTTCTGTGTTGTCTATCCCATAGAAATATAATGACTAGAATATGCAAAGTCCCTCGGACCACAGCAATTTGACTGCACCCTCACGGGTAATTCTAACTTTATGATCTATGCAAGGTGTCTGGCTGTCTGTCCAGGACGGAGGGGACACACAGTGGAACTCACTGTGGACTTCCTGTCCCACAAAGTATAATGGGAGGGATAACCAGGGGTTATTCAGGGTTTAATGGGGAGACAGAGGACAGCTGCAGGACCCAGAGCAGACTTTGGCACAGCATGCCACCCCTTCTCTCTCCTCCATCTTTAAAGGCTTGTGTCATCTTTCCACTGTATCCCAGAGCTACACATTGTGTTTTAGTAGCATAGGCATGAATTGTTATGTATTGTTTTTACAGTACACCAACTATGATTTATGGACCAAATGCATGATATAAGAATCAACTGTATGAGTACACCTACCATTATAGCAAGTATTCATTGATACAATTAGCATTTAAGGCAACCCAATGGGCACAGATGTTAATTCAACGTCTATTCCATGTCGGTTCAACGTCATTTCATTGAAATGACGTGGAAACAACATTGATTCAATCAGTGTGTGCCCAGTGGGAACTATTATATTTTTTGGCTAATTACAGCATTCCACCACTTCAAATGTGAAGCTTTTACGCTAAATAGCTTATCTAACAGCTGTGTTCTCAGCTGATGCGATAGCTCACCAAAGCAGCTGATTGCTTAACCAATTTACTCTCGCAGACTTCATTCTCAAATCAATTAAAAGTTCTCATTGTGACTTTCATTTTGGTCCGTTGATTGAACCACAGAGATACTTTTGTTTCAGATACATATTAGTACATTAGTACATAAGCCTTGTATGTCGTAGTCTAGTGCATTATGTCATTACATTACATTGGCCTTGTGATCTCATGGTTATTGAGGCCAATACACTATTAAAACGAATTACATGTTGATCTGATTAGGTAACAGTGAAACCAATCTTTCACTCAGGGGAAAAACTTCAACGTAAGTAACATTTTCACTCAGTCTCCCATTGACATCAATGCATGGAAGTTAGGATTCGCCACTCAGTGATGTTACTTTACTTGAAGAAACTCTAAATGTTTATCTCCTCTTTTACAGGCAAGAGAGCAAAGGGAGAGATTTGATCCAAAATGGCAGAGCGCTACGACTGCCATGACTGCAAGGAGTCCCTGTTTGGGAGGAAGTATGTGCTCAGGGAAGATAACCCCTACTGTGTGAAGTGCTATGAGAGCCTGTACTCTAACACCTGTGAAGAGTGCAAGAAGTCCATTGGCTGCAGCAGTAGGGTAAGTGGTCCTGAATGTGGTGGTGTAGAGTTTACCAGTGCTATTCCTCGATAGGTTGTATTCCTTCCTATTAGTATTAACTTTATTTCTATGACCCAGGTGTTGAACAGAACTTGGAATTAGAACAGGAGTCGATGGAATTAAAACACAAATATCCCAGACCCAGACACAATCATTGACCTAAAAGGACACATGACATACTACTACGCACTGACTCTCACTCACGCACACACACACCCACACAGATACACACACACAAACACACACACACACACACACACGCAAATATACATTCATGCTACACACACATCACAACTGCTGCTACCAGACTCTCATTATGATTGCTAAATACTGCACAATTTAAACACTTGTCCCCCTTCCACAAAACACGTGTAAATATTGGACTATAAATTGTACCTTCCTGTATTATACTTATGCCAAAATGTTTATTCTATTCTACTGAGTCATTTACTAAGTTCGTATTCTTATCTTTTATTATTTCTCATCGTTGTTGCATGAAGGAACCTGCAAGTAAGCATTTCATTGGACAGTCTATCCCACGTGTATCCTGTACATACGACTAATAAAACGTGAAACTTGAAACTTGTGGCTTCCTAGTTCGCATTCTGACAGGGCCTTGTGTTTTTTCAGCAATTAGTGTCACATTACATGGTCATTAGTGTCACAGATTAGATGTCACCCCCCAGTGGATTGGCCTTGAGGGGGGCTCATCTGTGCCGAGTGTCCCTGTCCCCTGTAGCAACTAGTCAGTCATCTGTCCTAGGCCTCTTTCAGTTTATCTAACCCATAGCTGTGACTGCCACCCCTGCTCCCATCTCAGTCATTATTCAGTCATTCATCTAAATGGGTAGCTAACTAAGCACATGTTGTCACACATCCATTGTCACCACGCATCCAGCAGATAGGAGTTGAGTTGAGGTCACTGCCATGGCAGAACACTAGAACACAGTGAGTGGTAATCTTAACAGACTGGTGGGCCTTAGATTCAGTCAAAACGCTGATGTCCATTATCCCAGAAAAGGAGGCAACGAGATGAATGGAGATATACCTGACCCTGACTCTCTGTCCAATCCTCCTTCTTTAGGACCTGTCCTACAAGGACCGCCACTGGCATGATGACTGCTTCCACTGCTTCAAGTGTAGCCGCTCCCTGGTTGACAAGCCCTTCTCCACCAAGGACGACCAGCTTCTCTGCACCGAGTGCTACGCCAATGAGTACTCCTCCAAGTGCCACGAATGCAAGAAGACCATCATGCCAGGTAAGGACATGTCTGGCCTGACAGAAGGGAGGAAGTCAGTGAATGGGGCTTTCAGTTGGATTTGGCCAGTACAAAATCTATTGGTACTGGTAAGGAAACTACTGAAGGGGAAAGAGTTGACAGATTTGACAGACATCTGACAGAGTTGAGGTTTGAGTGGGATTTGGTTACTAGCAAATCTATTTGGTGCAATCATGGATGCCAGGTTTCCACCTCCTATGACCTGTGTTAGGAGTTTATGTAATGAATAATGTTGTTGGAGCAGTCAAGCGGGACAATGGATGGTCTGTCATAGTTTGGTGGAGCCAGCTCACGTACCACTACTGGTAACCTGATTGGGGGGCTGGTGAGCGGAGGAGGATGAGAGGATAGCGCGAGAGAGAAGAGAGGGAGCGCGCCGAGCCGAGCGAGCCGGGAGAGAGAGAGAGAGAGAGAGAAGGGGAGCGCGAAGGTCGTGGGGGAGCGAGGAGAGAGAGAGAGAGGGAGGCGAGGGGCGAGAGAAGCGAGAGAGGGAGCGGGCGAGAGGGAGAGGGCGAGAGAGAGGGAGAGAGGAGAGGAGAGAGGAGCGCGAGAGAGAGAAGAGAGAGCGAGCGAGAAGCCGCAGAGAGAGAGAGGAGCGCGAGGAGCTAGAGCGCGAGAGCAGAGAGCTCAGCTTTCTCTTCTCTACTATCACGCCGAGATCTTGTTCTCCTCTCCCTACGCTCAGCCCCCGTATCTTCTCTCTCTCTCGCTCTCTATCTCTCTCTCGCTATCTCTCTCTCTCTCTCTCTGCTCTCTCTCTCTCTCTCTCTCTGCTCTTCACCCTCCCCTCTTCCTCCCCTTTGTCTCTCTCCTTCTTCTTCTCCTCTCTGGTTTCCAGGCTCCAGGAAGATGGAGCATAAGGGCAACAGCTGGCATGAGACCTGCTTCGCTTGCCAGCGCTGCCAGCATCCAATCGGCACCAAGAACTTCATCCATAAGGACAACAGTAACTACTGCGTGCCCTGTTACGAGAAGCAGTTTGCCATGCAGTGTATCCAATGCAAGAAGGTAATATAACCCACTGGAGTGGGCTTAAATGGAGTGTACTGGATCAGAATGTATGCTTTTGGAGAATCCTGTGTTAAAATGGATTGCTCCTCTCCAGAGTCGCATTTCTTACCATTCTTTGTCAGCATTTAAAACAGGTTCCTTGTGCATACAAAACAAAGCTTGTGATGAATAAAAGTTCAACTCAATTCAGTTGAGCCCGCATTATGCAGTACTTCTTTTTCCCATGGTCAAATACCTTTACAGGTATAGATGTTAATTATAGATTGGTGATTGAGCTTCTCACTTCCTGTGTCTGTCTCCTGTAGCCAATCACCACTGGCGGGGTGACCTATCGCGATCAGCCGTGGCATAAGGACTGCTTCCTGTGCACTGGTTGTAAGCAGCAGCTGTCTGGCCAGCGGTTCACCTCTCGGGACGACTTTGCCTACTGCCTGAACTGCTTCTGCAATCTGTATGCCAAGAAGTGTGCCTCCTGCACCACCCCAATCAGTGGTACGTATGATCACTCACATTGGCTCATCCTCACACATACCTGTAGACTCTGGAGTCAATCGTAACTTCCACTTATGTCAAATATCCACTTAGTCATGCATCGATGTCAATGGAAGACTAAGTGAAAATTCAACATAAGTGGAAGTTAGGATTCACCCCTCTATGATTAGTTAATTATACACTGAGTGTACAAAACATTAGGAACACCTGCTCTTTCCATGACATAGACTGACCAGGTGAATCCAGGTGAAAGCTATGATACCTTATTGATGTCACGTGTCAAATCCACTTCAATCAGTGTAGATGAAGGGGAGGAGACAGGTTAAATAAGGATGTGTAATCCTTGAGACAATTGAGACATGGATTGTGTATGTGTGCCATTCAGAGGGTGAATGGGCAAGACAAAATATTTAAGTGCCTTTGAATGGGGTATGGTAGTAGGTGCCAGGCGCACTGGTTTGAGTGTGTCATGAACTGCAACGCTGCTGGGGTTTTCACGCTTAACAGTTTCCCATGTGTATCAAGATTGGTCCACCGGCCAACTTGACACAACTGTGAGAAGCATTGGAGTCAACATGGTCCAGCATCCCTGTAGAGCGCTTTCGACACCTTGTAGAGTCCATGCCCAGATGAATTGAGGCTGTTCTGAGGGCAAAAGGGGATAAAACTCAATATTAGAAAGGTGTACACTTAGTGTATATTCGTACAGAATCAATAGGGCCAGGACTTTTTCCATACCATGTGACAAAAAAAACCTGACTCTGGTTCCTCATCCCTACACTCCATACTCTCCACTTCTATTCACTCCTATTCAAAACATTATTTAGTAACGACCCCAAACTCAAGGTCCCTTACTTACAGTGAGGTTACATATTAACTAGTCAGTTGATCTATCTATCTGGTGTTATAGAGCCATGGCACTCAGCTCATGGGTTTTGAATTTCTTCCAGAAAATGTACTTACTCAATATCTATTCGAATATTATTACATTAGTGATCCGGAGTAATTTTTAAGGAAGTGCGCCAGACAGTGTTCCCATGCTCACATCTTTCTCCATCCCTCCCTCTCTGTGCCTGTCTCGTCTTGCTTGTGCAGGTCTGGGGGGCAGCAAGTACATCTCGTTTGAAGAGCGCCAGTGGCACAATGGCTGCTTCAACTGCAAGAAGTGCTCCATCTCCCTGGTGGGAAGGGGCTTCCTGACCGCCCAAGATGAGATCATGTGTCCCGAGTGTGGCAAAGACATCTAAGAGCTATATGCGAGGATGGAGCGTCAAAGCCAAAGAAAGCAAAGATGCAAGCTAATATAGGCCTAGTCCTACTAACATGTCATTTATTCTAATAATATAATTTTCAGACTAACCCTAAAGGCTTTCTGCATGCACTGGCCTCAGATTGATACAGTATGTTGTCTGATGAATTGAGCACAAATTGCATTAGATTCTTAGAAAGAGATATCATTTCGATGTATTTTAAACAAAATAGCAACTTTGTCCGTGGTTTGTTACCATTAGAACGTTTAACTAATGTATTAGGTTGTATATGTTAGGATAATCATCCGTGACAAATAACTATGACATAATGCAATTAACAGGAGTTATACTTTTCATTATAGCAGTAAAATCTAATGAGAACATGACATGACATGTACCTGCACTCTAAATGTGAAATAAAGTATTTAAAAGGCAATTCACTGATAGAATAATCTTTCTGACATTTGTGTTTGTTCCAAATCTGTAAAGACACAATTAATCCCATGGGCCCTGGTCAAAAGTAGTGCACTATATATATATTTATATATATATTATATATATATATATATATATGCAGGGGAATAGGGTAGCTTAGTGGGTAAGACTAGGTGAAAAATCTGCTAAATGACACACAAAAAAAGTAGATCTACAACCCCCATGGTTGTGAATGGCTTACCTCTGGCTCCATCTAGTGGTACAAGCACCCCTTGGGGGAAAATGGTCTCTTGACCACTTAAAACCACATAAAGGAGGTCTGGGATGTGAACATTAGTGCCTGGATCTGTCTGGGTCTTGGCTGCAGGTTAGCGGTTTTCTTCATGAATCTTGTTCTAGAGGTAGCTCTGCAGAGAGGTCACTAGCTGGCACAGCCACAAAGTCATTCAACCCTAATGCCTAACCCTAAGGATGAGCTGTCCATGGTGCTGAAAAGGTTGAGGGCGATGCTGCAGCCGTGTCTTGTTCGGGGTTGCTGTCCATGGCGCTGGTTTTGAGTGAAGAAAATGTCAATTTTCTGTAATAAATGAAAATCCAAATAATTTACATTATTAAAAATCCAAAAGGCACGAAGGTCTCCAAGTTGAAGTCAATCTATTTATACTTTTTGGTTTATTGTAACTGTAATATACATTTTATGTAAATGTATAATGTATATCAGTAGGATATTTCTGTTTTGGGTGTTTTTTTTAATAAATAATAAATAAAACCACATGACCGGATGTACATGGAATGTGCAGTAGGAAATGCTAACCGCATTAGCTAACCATCCATTATTTTATCGAGGTCTCCACTCCCACCGGCACACGAATTGTGTAAGATAGCTTTTCTAAACCTACAATTTCTCTCTGAACATTACATCACTCTATGTGCTATTGCCAACATGATATGATAACCTGTTAGCTAGTTGTTCATAGGTTAACATTTAGTCGTGCACGTTTGATGGCTTTTGTGTAAAGCTAGCTGGCTAGCTAGCTAACGGATGCTATCCCACTAACTAGCATTGAACAAAGGTTGTGTGTGCCTCTCCCCTCTGTGTCTGAAACGGGGATACCCGATTGTCGTGTGGTTTACATATAGCAAGAACTGTTAGCATAGTTTATCTTGCATATTTAACTGACGTTGCAACTGTCTTGTCTTTTTATTATACCCCATCAGCTAATTCTGGAAATCATCATCATCCAAAATGAGTGCTGCTCCCAACCACAGACGGACCAAGCCTGGTGGTAAGCTAGCTTGCTAACGTATTCTAGCCTCTAGCTGTAGTCAGTTAACTGGGCAGCTGTGTCAGCTACTACAGTATCCTTGCACGTAAGCCTCCTGTGCCATAAAGGCCCAGACCTCTTAGCAGAGTATCCCTAAACACTCCCTAAAAAGACCTGAGAGAGTGGATTTATCCCTCTGCTTCCACCAAATGTAGCGATTGAGGAAGTGCTGAGGTGGTGCTTGAACCAGTTACCTTCTGGTTGCAGGGGCAAGTGCACTAGATACCCCCCTTGCCACAAATATCGAGACCTTAGCAGAGGCTATTATATGCTTACATACAGGGATGCTACACTGTATCACTCAATATAGCTTTTACATCTAGGCCATCAATTCTCTAGCCAGCCAGGGCAGATACAGCATCTGCCTGTAAATGCAGGCCTGAGTGCTGGTGACAACACCCATTAAAAACCTAATCATTTTATTACAGGCGTGAAGACAGGCTATCCAGGCCAAGCTCCCTCCAACGGTGTTACGGGACCCACTTCCCAGATCCCCGGGCTGTGCCAGGAAGCCACTGAGGGTGCTCCAGAGGCCAGGACCAGCGGAAGGCGTGTGGGAATATTCGACTCCGACTCCGACTATGTCAAACTTGCCAAAGGAGGGGGACAGAAGGGTAACAATGTTTTGTGTCATAGTTTTGTGCTGCTTTACAGTACATATGTGCTTTACACTTCAGTACATGCTCATTACTATGGACTCTTTGGACACAGACTAGTGTGTTTGTAATGATATTAGCTAGTTCAAATTATAGTGAATTGCTCTATATATCATGTTCAATTCATTTGGTATTTGGTATTTTATTAGGATCCCCATTATCTGTTGCGAAAGCCACAACTACTCTTCCTGGGGTCCACACAGAACATGAAACATGACATAATTCACAACATTAATAGACAAGAACAGCTCAAGGACAGAACTACATACATAGCCTACATATCAATACATACACACAAAATATCTAGGTCAAATAGGGGAGAGACGTTGAATTCCCATGTTGAATTCCCAGAGGAAAGCTAAAGACTGATTTTCAAAAGAGATGAATTCATGTTTAGTTATGTTCCTACTTTTAAATAACTTGTGTTATGTGTCCTCCATAGGTTTACTGTGGCATGAGGACAACAAGGAGGAAGCTAGGCCCAATGCATCCTACAATGCACCTGATTGGTTCTCTGCTGGATCTCAGCGGTAAGGACCCCCACCCCCTGTTGGTTCGTTGGCTCTGTTTGATGAAAATATTATTGTAATGTCTCATTTTCTACAGTGTGATCATGGAACAATATGTCAGGCCTAACAAAACGTTCGGCATCATGTCATGTCTGTATGTGTCTTGAAAACAGGTGAACAGGTAATGTTTAGAATGGGAAGTTACATCTTGACTCTTGGTGGTGGTGGTGCATCTTTAGTTGTCCAAGCCAGGGTTCTCAAATGGATGCCTGTTGGCCAAAGCACTGGCCAATGAAGGAGTATTACAATGGTTTTGTGCTTTACAGCGGAAGTAAAGCAACATCCCCTGATGATTGTCAAGGATACGGCAAAAGGCAACCTCTAGCTGCTCCCTTCGGTACTGATGATATTTCAGCCTGGGAAAGGGAGAGCGATAGCTATAAAGAGAAGGTGAATTCAATGGCCCCAACAAACCCCCTAATCACTGACACAGTTGTTATCATTTACCATCATCCCCTCCCTTTATCAGTTCATCTCTTGCGTTGACTCCATCATTCCGTTCAGACAGGGATTGGGTGGGGACTTCTGTTGAACTTCTTTGTCTTGTTTTTCACCAGCGTACTGTAATTACATTTCATTTGATTGATTGCCAACCAGTTTGGTGTGGTCATCATATCTTCACTCTTTTATTTACTTGGTCCTCCATTTCATTGTTAGAAGTGTCCCATGCGCTTGTATACTTCATACAATGAGTATTCTTGTACTGGGCCTGACTGACTGGTTTGAACTGGTTATATTCTTGTTTGCAGAACCCCACGGTCACTGATGCGTCCAGCCAAATGGAGAATATGTCTCTAAACCAAGGTGGTTATATGGAGGTCAACAAATACAAGAAGACGTGAGTGCCTGCCTATATATTGGACATCCAGTATTCATTCTGTAATTCAATTTCACTTAATGCTTAATAATACCAACGTACTGCAATATGTGTGTATCAGTGTGTAACATATTTGCATAACCTTTATAACCTGTGTAATATATAATTTGTATAATGTTGGAACTTCTAAATTCAACCTAACCACTAACACAATTGAATTTCCAACCTCTCAGTCAAAGTGATTTTTCTATGGACAGGTCCCATGAGAAGAAAACTGCTCCTGTGAGCATGTCCAAGCTGCTGAGCTTTGGTTACATAGAGGATGAGAAGAGGTCCACCAATGATGATGACTCCTCAAGTACGACAAATTACTTTGCCTTATAGTCTTTGACCAGTGGAAAAACAGTAGACTTTTCCTCAACAAGTATTTTGGAGGAATTAGCAGCAGCACTATAGGTTTATTCTGCTAAATCAAACAATCTTTAATAAAACAATTCAAGTGTTTATTTCATACCATATGGACATTCTGAACTAATGCCAAACATGACTCATATGGGTTGGCTACGGGATTTAATACATTTTGAATGTATACCATTATTACATATTACCAACCTGTTTGTGTTTGTGTTTGTGTGTGTCTTTCAGGTGTGACCTCTGAACAGACGAGCACCATCGCACCTGAGGAAGAAGACCTGGAATAGGGAGGAGAAGAGGTCCATCTGTGGTAGAAAACAACAGTGGATACACACACTCACACCTGCCATTCACTCTACTGTCTGTTCCCCCTGTCTCTCTGTCTCTCTCTCTCTGAGTGACACACACTTTCTCTCATTACTGTACATCCCGACTGTTATGTTTTGTAATTATGCAACGGTACCTTCTCTGTTAATTTATTTATTTGTTGTCTTTTGTTTTTTACTCCATGTAAAGTTGTTCTCAGAAAACCAACACAGCTTATTGATGCTTGTCATGTTTATATTATCGTTCTTGAATTGGAAGATGAATTGTGTGAATATGAAACAGTACTGTACACTGGAGTTTCTAGTATTTGTGGTGTAAAAATTATTTTGGTGCTGTGAAGCTTGTTTGTGAACAAGGCCTACTGTACCTACACACAAAGGAGACGTTTGTGGCTCGCGCTTTTCAGCTCTCGTGTTGAATAGGATCGGAAACCGAGAGCTCAGCCAAAGAAACATGGATACATGGGTGCTAAGTGATTCACTTGTTATGAGAAGGCAGACATGATTTGGAATGGAAGACAGAAATGCCAATGAATCTACTTCATTCTAAAGAGATGCCCCCCCCCCCCCCCAGCCAAGATCCCAACCTATCTCATACCAGGATATGGTTCAGTGTTATGAAGTTATGGTGGGCATTGATTCCATAGATAGATAGATACCTTTTGTGATGTTCTAACAACTGTCTCAATTCATTCTACATATTTAGTTAGGGAATAGTGGCAATTGTATTGTGCAATGATATTGTTTGCTCTGAAGTAAAAAGGTTTTGCTTTGACGTGAAAGTAGGGCTGGGCGATATGGCCAAAATATATCGCTATATTTTTCACATTTTTGAAGGTATGGCGGTATTTGACGGTATTTTATGTTTCTGAATAATACAAGATCCAAATATGTTTTATGAGTAGTGCATGACCCTAGAATGGCAACAAATTAATAAAGTTAATTTAACAGTATTTCTCCATGCTGATGGTTTATTCTCAACCAAACTAGGACAAAACTGACAGTGAAGTGGTCCAATTTGTTGAACTTTTCAGTTATTTAGCACTTTATAAAAATACCTTTATAGACGATATGTGGATCCATACCGGTATACCGATATTCATGCTATATCACCCAGCCCTATGTGAAGGTACATGTAGCTTGGAGATATTTTCCACTTAGCACAGTAAATATACACAGTAATGATCCTCCCTAGTTTTTCATTGGTGGAGAGGTCCACTTTAACACAGTCAATGTGTGATCCTCACATTTTTCTTAAAGTGATGAGTACACTGAGGCTCTTGAGTGAAAATGTCATTAAAATAAATTAGCATGTGCATGTACCCCTTGTGCTCTTTCTTGATTAAGTGGTAATTAACTACAATGTCAGAACAGTACTAGTGTTAATAATCATGCCTATTGACAGGTACAATATAAAACTATCACATAGCTTCATACAGACTATAGAACATAAATAATATGCAATCAAATTAATTATATTCATATGGCTCAATACATACACCAATAAAGTATGATAGCGTATTCATTTCATTCACTATATATTTGTCAAAAACACCACTTTAAATTTCATAATATCTGTTGATTAAACAATTATTTGTAAGGTGCATACAGTGTGCAGTATTCCGGTGGTCCCAGCGAATTACCATACAAATACCTCGGCGTACAAACCGCATGGTGACGTCACATCTATCCTGAATCGTGGGTGGGTGCCACAGAAGTCAATTGCACGGTAGCTGGGTAGATTTTGGACAGGCAAGGCACATACATAAATAATAATACTGACATTCGCCAATGCATGGAATATTGTTTAAATAATTTCTAACGGATGAACAAGACATTTAGTCTTAGCGACACTGTGTGTAAAATGAAGCTGTCGCGATCGTATGGAAAATGGATTCCTAACCGACGTATACCCTGAGCAGTATTGGTACATCATCAACATCTGGCGGGTAAGGAATCGCACTAGCTCGTGCCTCGTAAGTAAGCAGCTGTTGCAGAATTGTAAATGCATGATTCTATCATTTCAACCTAGGTAGTGTCGGATGTTTCACCTTCTCAATATCCACTTGCGCCGTGTACATTTTCTCTTGCATGTTCATACTTCAAACACGGTGCTTTTGTTTGTTACAATGTATATATCATGGGTTTATAGCTTCAGTGTATCATCATACTATCATGCTGACCGCAGTCCATTTTCATTGAACTGGCTGCACCAATACCCTCATGTAATGCAGAAGTATCTTGCATTGGAAAGCTGTCATACCATTGACAGTGGCTTCTAGTTGAAGTGCTGTGCAGTGCTTCTCAGCCTGTCACATTGGTGGTAGTGCATGCATTGCCAATAGGTAGAAAAATGACATAGCAAGCAATTGGGCCTTCCATGCACTGCAATCCTTGTTTGGTTTTAGTGCTGGACAGTAACATATTGTTTGTGTAATGTGTACTGGGCATGTCTCCAAAGGGCAGAGAGGGTGGAGGATGCCATCCCCGGAGCAACGGGCAGCGGAGATGGGGGAGGAGGGGGAAGGTGAAAGGTCTGTGGCGGCCAGAGAGGGACCGAGCGGGCACAGCCAAGCAGACACCACCACCAACAACCTACTGGCCTCCGTCAAAGAACAGGTATGTTTAGTTCGCTCTTTTTCTCCTCTCGTTCTCTCGCTCCCTCTCTCTCTCGCAGTAGGTATGCCTCTCCCCATCTCGTTCTAGTTCTATGAGTCTCTTTCCCTCTCCATCTCTCTTTTTATATCACCCCCTCCCTTCCCGTTTCCCTTCTGCTGTTATGTTATGCATTTAGAGATGCTAGAATGCACAAGGAGATTACCTCCTTTGATCAAGCAGTGTTTTCTGAGACTGTCGCTCAATCAGAATTGTGGGAAAGCAGGGTATTTACAGATAAATGATTTACAGATTTACAGTGTAGGCTACCTCACAATTGTGTCCTCCTGAGTGCTAGTACAGAAATGAGTGATGAAAAATGTGAATGTCACACAATATTCCAGACGTTTAATCAAACCCGTCATAAAACTGTAAATTAATATTTTTCATTTTCGTCTTATTCTGAAAGCTGGAACTGTCTTCCTGATGAGATTTTCAAGATCTTCTTGTATTTTTTAGATTAAAAAATGAATATTTTTTCTTCTTTTTTTTTTTTACGTAGACTGTATTGCTGCATAAATATGGCAATGCTGTTTTGATGGAATTCGACCCCTAAAGCTTTAGGCTGAGTGTTTTCTAATGGGTTTCTCTCTTTTGAATTCTGTCAAATTTTGTAAAGAGTCAGCAGAAGTGTGGAGGTCAGCTAACTGTAGTAGTATGATGAGCCGCAGTAATAATCTGTACAAAATCAGCATTTTCATAGTGAATAGTGATAGGAGTCCATCAGTTGCTGTAGCAAACAGTATGCTGAGTGGGCAAACCCAGTGCCATGTTAGTGTCAAAAGTCCCAAGACAATAAGACATTCTAGTAAGAATGAAGTCTTATCCATAGAAATAGAATGACGGTTTTCTTGTTGTCACGGAATATTTGGTACCAGTATGTAGGATGGACACTGTGCCCCGCTGGTTTAGTTTTCCTGGAATGGTCCATCCCATCTCTATCCTAATCTAGATCTGGAGGTGGAGTTAAAGCACTAGGCCTAGCGTGTATTTCACTGAGGTCCCTAATGCAGTTAAGACAGCTGTCAGGGAGTGTATGTGGGTTGCTGGGTTTTCCCCCTTGTATTTACTGTGTGTGTGTTTACGCCCTGTGTGTGTTTGCTTGTGTGATGTGCTTGGTTGAGCCCAGTAATTCTCTGGTGTGAGTGAGTGTGTGCACTGTGTGTGTGTGCACTGTGTGTGTGTTGCACTCACTCACTCTGTCTCTGGCTGACTTTCCTGTGTGATTGCAGGATTACAGTGTGTCATCTGGTTCTCTCTAGTAGTGTGTGTAGACAGGATCTAAACTCTGGGGTCGACGCCATTTACCAGACAGAGACACTTTGTGTTTGTGACCCCCTGACAATGGGCAGTCAGTCAGTGACCCCTCCAGTTCACCAGTCAGCTGGTACAGTACTAGACACAACCTGGCACTGCTTGGCATGGGAGGAGGAATCATTGGCAGGACCCCATCCTGATAAGAGCCCATCCTGTTCAAGCTGGTGGCTGGCTGCCACTGTGGCACTGACTGCTTCCAAGTGATGACGCTTAATCATTTAGCGGTTAGTCTCACCTCATGGCCTATAAAGTCTGCATAGTCTATATACTCATTTTAGACATTTGTAGCCCTGAAGGGTTTTTAATTGACTTCTTATAATAATGTTCACTTGTAACAAACACATTAAGAAACACATAACCCGTCCCTGTTCAGTATGAAATCGGACTGATGTTTCTGGGTAGCTCTGACCTTAATGCCACAAAGCCTCTTTTGTTGACTTATTCATTTGGACCATAAATATTTTACAGGTCAAACATCAAAATGCTCTAAAATCGACGCAGAGCGAGCATGCCAAAGGCTGTGTACCTTGGTTATTGTTAACACAATGGAAGTTGTTGTCAGTGAAAGAAAATGTCATTCGGCGAGTATGATTCTACCATTTGTCCCTTCCGTGTTGCCGTAGGAGCTCCAGTTTGAGCGTCTGACCCGGGAGCTGGAGGAGGAGCGTCAGATCGTCGCCAGTCAACTGGAGAGGTGCATGCTGGGAGCTGAGTCGCCTGGCGATGATGATGATGCCAGTAGCAGGTACACACACACACACACACGCACACACACACACACACACGCACACACACACACACACACACCACACACACACACACACACACCACACACACACACACACACACACACACACACACACACACACACACACACACACACACACACACACACACACACACACACACACACACAGAGAGAGAGCACTGACCCTGTTTCTCTATCAGCATGTCACCTACATGGAGCTACTGATGATAAGTAGCTACAGTAATGCCTTTATCCAAGCTCACTGAACGCACAACATGCAACACACACACACGTACACAAACACACACACACACAAATACACACACAGGATTACATTGTAAACTGTCATGTTGATCTAACTCTCATCTCCTCTCCATCCCTGTCCTGCCCCATCCCTTCCCTCCATTATTTGACTACCTTCTCTCCTTGACAGTGACTCATCAGAGAAGTCCTTTGCTTGGAGATCCACAGGTACAGCTTCTCCCATATTCAAATCATATTGACCCCTATTGAAATCCTATTGTAAAGACACCCATAGGGTTGCCCAAAGGTAGCACAAGTACAAAGGTATGTAGCGAGTGCTATCATAAACTGCTTTTGAGATAAGCTACGTTTGCACCACAGGAGGCTGCTGAGGGGAGAATGGCTCATAATAAGGAACAGAGCAAATGGAATGGCATCAAACACCTGGAAACCATGTGTTTGATGTATTTGATACCATTCCACCAATTCCACTCTAGTCATTACCACGAGTCCGTTCTCCCCAATTAAGGTGCCACCAACCTCCTGTGAGTTGAAGCAATCTTGATAGCGATCACAGGACGGTTGACGTGACGCCATCTTGTTTTCCTCAGTAGATGTGTCTGGTACGGGAGAGCACCGGGCTGCTGTAATGGACAGCTCTCATCAGTCACCCTCCCGTCTCTTCAGAGCTGATCAGGGTCACGGGTCACTCTACCTCCCTGAACCGGAGAGGGCATCCCTGCATGACAGTGAGGGTCTGTTACTTCCTGCATCCTCTTTTTCATCTGACTTTTTCTTCTTCTTGTTTTGCAGTTTAGATTTAGCATGGAGAATATAGAATGCTTAGGGCTAGATGGAATCTGCTGGGCAGAATTTTTTTTTAACTCAAAAGGAATGATTTGACATCAAAAAGCGGAAAACGTTTTGAAAGTGAAAAGGCAGAAATGCTTTAAAAAAAAAAAAAAAAAACTGAAAATGCTTTGAAATAAAAAAGCAGAAACTTCTTTGAAATAAAACGTAGCTGTGGAATAACATCAAAGTATACCAGGTACTGCGACACAACATACAGTATATAACGTAGTTATGGTTTACTTATTAAATATTAAGACAACATTTACAACTAATGTAACAACAGACTTCATTTGGCCATATTATGCACAATAAACAGTATATCATCCTAAGCGGGCACATTCTATAACTTAATGACAATATTTATTTAAATGGAAACGTATATTTTACATACCATGGCATGCTGTATTGATTATGAATGTATCGATTGCATAAATGCTCATTCACTGTGTAGCCTAGTTCTGAAATAGACATAAAGATCAATAAGGCAATCCATCATTCAAACGTAATTCTGTCCTCTGCTTCCTCTCCACCCTCCCTCCCCTCTCTCTCCTCTTCTCTCTCCTACATCCCCCCTCTCCTCCCTTCTACCCCTCCCCTACCCTCTCACAGGATCTGTGGCCCATATGACGTCATATGCAGATAGTGGATACCAGGACAGTAGCATGAGTTACTACAGTGTGAGCAGAGAGAATGTGGTTCTGTCAGAGCCCAGACACGTGCTGTCAGGCAGCGGCCCCAGGGGAAGCCCCGGTCACGGCAGGAGCTCCCGGGCAGAGGGACAGGCCTCTGCACAGGTAGCTAATGTACACTAACCCAACTCTACTGTGTAGAGACGGACAAAATCTTTAAATTTTACATTTTAGTCATTTAGCAGACGCTCTTATCCAGAGCGACTTACAGTTAGTGAGTGCATACATTTTCATACTGGCCCCCCGTGGGAATCGAACCCACAACCCTGGCGTTGCAAGCGCCACGCTCGACCAACTGAGCTACAGGGGCCCTATTTATATGCCAACATATATATCTATATATATGATATAACCTTTTAAATGCCTGCCTATTTATATAATATCATAGTTAACCTACTCAAACTGTATATAACGCAAGGTTAAAGATCCATAGGTATCAAGGACTGAATTGGCTTTCCTGTGTGTCGTGCCTTGTCCATATCTCTCCCCCACTCTCTGACATCCGGTATCTCTCCCCCACTCACCCTACTCCCTCCTATCCCAGGCCTCAGCGTCAGGGCGGGTGATGAGGAGGATGGGCTCCCTCCCCTCCCGCGGCCAGTCTCCTGTGTGTGGTGTGGGGGGCGCCGTGTCCCCGTCCCGGGTCTCTCTCCGCACCTCCCAGGGCGGCAGCGCCTACGGCTCACCCATACTCACCGAGCCCAAACCCCTCGCCAGCATCTTCCCCGGGACCACCATGCCCCCCTCCTCCCCGCCTGGTCCAGGCACCACCCCCTCCTTCCAGCGCGCCACCTCTCCCTACTCCCCCACCCACCAGAGGAACGGGAACGGCGACTCCCCTCTCCGGACCAGCCCCCGTCCAGGCAGCGCCAGTCATGCCACCTCACCTCACCAGGCGACGGGTAGTATCTCCGGGTGCCTGGGGTCTACTCTGTCTCTGGTGGAGGGGAGGGGGCTGTCTGGCTCTCCTCTGAGGTCCTGTATGACGGCTGTTCCCCAGCACTACGGCTCCACACTGCCCCGCCAGGGGGCTCAGACCCAGGCTCTCCACTACGGACATGACGCCTACGGGCTCTATGAGAGGACCGCGCTGCCCCTGTCACGCCCTGACAGCCTCACTGGTTAGTCATACAGCAGGACTCTGCCTCGAAACACACACAGACACACACATGCACACACGTTCACACATACACACAGACACACACATGCACTTAAAGCTGGAATCCTTAATTAAAACAATAACAAAGCAGTCACCCCGCCTTAGCTTTGGTAACAATAGGGATAGGCCTGGATAACTTTAACCACTCTCAAATTCAAAGCAAGCGCTATGTATGCAAGGACTGACCATCCATCAGAATAATAGTTTTAACCATGTTTTAAGGCTATACAGCAGGGATCATCAACTAGATTCAGCCGCGGGATGATTTCTTCTTGAGCGGATGGTCAGCGGGCCGGAACATAATGACAAATAATTTGTAGACTGCAAATTGACCGCAAGAAGCCCAAACAGATATAATATTTGACTAAAACCTAATCATTTCAAACTTTGCTTACATTTATATGCAATCACAGATACAGTATCTCTGTTATGCGTCGGAATACTTTGGAACAGATTTAAAATCAAATCCCCGGTGGGCCGCCAGTTGGGGAACCCTGCTATACAGTGTTTATTTACATTTACTTTGTTTACAAACATTGGAGTATAACAAGCTTATATTTTGGGGTCTAAAACAATTGAACTAAGTTCATGAGGCATTTATTTAAGTTGTATTAGTCCAAAAATGGATGTAGCAAGTAAGGATTTATGCTGGTTAAAGGGTAGGAAAAATATACTTGAAAAGGGTCAAACGGAACCAGGCTCTCTTCTGATTTCCGTGCAGAGAACTTGTCTTTCTGAATCGATTCAGCTTTGTAGAGGTCCATTGGTTTCTGTGTGAAAGGGATGATATGAACTAAATACTAGATCTGTAGTGTTGGTGACAGAGAGATGTGTTTGTCCTGTATCCTGATCCATCCTGCAGCGCATCATATCAATGAGCCTAGCCTACTGACCCACATAGCCCTGTTTTATAAATCCCTTGTTCAAAGGTTAACAATAGGGCTCTGGGCAAAAGTAGTGCACTATATAGGGAATAGGGTGCCATTTGAGGCGTAACCAGAGTCATTCGGAGCACTGCTCTGCTCTGGGGGTATTGTTTGGTAAAACATGACAAAGCAGCATGGATTGGTTTCCATCTATTTTACAGGGCCAAACGAAAGGAGCCTATTGGCAAAGTGAATCAAGTGCGCCCTGGAGAACCATAAAGCGTTGCCTTTTACAGCTCGTTACACTGAAGCAGAGTGATGCAGGGGATTCTTGTTGGCCGTAGGCCTTTACTGCACAGTATATCTCAATAGGTTGAGCTTTCAAAAGAGGTTCAACAATAGACTGCAACCATCCAAGATGCACTCTTATATTGGTGTGGTCACTTCAACCAGCATTATATTTGGGACAAATCTTTCGCTAAACCCTAAACCTTATCTAAATCTTATAATGAATAATGGGGCGATTGAACATGTACAGGAGACTAAACTGCTTGGTGTAACCCTAGATTGTAAACTGTCATGGTCAAAACATATTGATGCAACGTTAGCTAAGATTGGTCTGTCTGTGATAAAGCTCTGCTCTGTTTTCTTGACATCACAATCAACTCAGGTCTGCAGTTTCATCACACCTGGACTACTGCCCAGTTATATGGTCAAGTGCTGCAAAGAAGGACATAGGCAAATTACAGTTGGCCCAGAACAGAGCAGCACGGCTGGCCCTTAAATGTACATGGAGGGCTAGTATCAAGAACGCATGTCAATCTCACCTGGCTCAAAGTAGAGGAGAGATTGACTGCATCACTACTAGTCTTTGTGAGAGGTATTGACGTGTTGAAAGCACCGAACTGTCTGTTCAAACAGCTAACACACAGCTCAGACACCCATACATACCCCACAAGACATGCCACCAGGGTTCTCTTCACATTCCCCAAGTCCAGAACACTCTGGGAAACGCACAGTACTACATAGAACCATGACTACATAGAACTCTCTTCCACATCAGGTAACTCAAGCTAGCAGTAAAATCAGATTTAAAAAACGAATAAAACACCACCCGACGGCACAACGCAGACTGTGAAGAGACACGCACTCTACACACACACATTGTAATTGTGGATTTTATATTGTAAATGTGTAATATTAGAGTAATAATGTCTTGTATGTTGTATTGATTTATTTATGATGTAGGCTGTTTTGTTGTGATGTAACTGTTTTAACCCTGTTTTGACCCCAGGAAGAGTAGCTGCTGCCTTGGTAGTAGCTAATGGGGATCCTGATAAATGCTAAATACTAAACCACTTACATCAACCTCAACCATGAACATAGATCTACTTTCACACTGTATAGCAGCCTACAATTAATCATTCACAACCAACATACAACACAACTGATTACAGATTGTAATATTATTTTAGATTTAAAGTTGATTTAGGGTTGATGAAGAATTTCACCACGTTTCTCCACATTCCATCACCAACAACATTGTCCTCAAAGCCCATCTTGACAGCTGACACAGTGTAAATAATGTAAAGCCAATTAATGTTCCCCTGCTGCGTGTGTGTCCAGGTCTGCACAGCTCCTACGCCACTCACCACAGCCCACTGGACCAGGATATGAGGATGGCCATGTCTCCTGACTGCCACATCACGCCTGTCTACGACGACAGAGCCTTCCACAGCCCCCTGTATCACAGTCCCACCCACACCCACCACGGATCACACAGCGCTATCTACAGGACACTCACAGGTACTGCAACACACTACCAGCAGACACAACTACACATGGCTAGGGCCATTGGGACCAGAGTCTTGCACAGTGTGTTATAACTAGTTTGTAATCTACAGTCAACACGATATTCATATGTGGGCTGTCTTTTCTAAGACACATCTTTGGAGATGCAGTTAAACAGACTCAAAGCGGAGAGGTGTGTGTGTGTGTGTGTGTGTGTGTGTGTGTGTGTGTGTGTGTGTCTAGGCTACGCCCCATCCTGAATGTATCCGTGTCTTTGTATTCCCAGGTGCGGCAAACCTTCAGCGGACCCTCCAGAGGACCACAAGCCATTGCAGCACCCTGGCGTACCAAAGAAGCAGCTATGGGCTGAACACCGCAGGGTCATACGCAGACCCCTACAGGGTCTCCCAGCAGGGACAGGGGCCCAATGAGAACTCTTTCTCCAGGCACTCTGGTCTGGTTGACAGGGCTGCCACAAGGTCCCCCTCCATAGACAGTATAGAGAAGGACCCTAGGTACAAATACACGACGCACCATCACACACACACTCACACACACGTCGAGCCACGCGATGATTACATCCTGACATGTTATTTATGAATTCAGATCAAAGTTTATTGTTCATGTCCGCAGGACACAGGGTGTAAACGGTACAGTAAAAAAAATACACAATAAGTAATAAAAAATAAGAAAAATAGTAATGTTTGTAAATATATACTGTACACAATAAGAATATACAGTATAGATTATGAAATGTGAGTTTTATTGATGTGTCATTGATGATGGAAGCGATATATTGAAAATTGCTTTTAGACTCACTTTCTCTCCCTCTCTCCCCATCTCTCTCCCTCTATCTCTCTCTCCCTCCCCCATCTCTCTCCCTCTATCTCTTTCTCTCCCTCTCATCTCTCTCCTTCTCTCTCTCCCTCCCCACCCTCTGTAGGGAGTTTTCATGGCGTGACCCCGCGCTTCCTGAGGTGATCCGCATGCTGCAGCATCACTTCCCCTCTGTCCAGGCCAACGCTGCAGCCTACCTCCAGCACCTGTGTTACGGAGACAACCGCATCAAAGTGGAGGTAACATGATGCCTGTCTGTCCCTGTCTGTTCCTAACCTCTCAGCTGATGTGTATGATCAAACAGTCCTTCCCTAGAGAGGATTTGAAAGCACAAACACATAGCCCTTTTCTGCAGTCAAATGACCAAATCTCCCTCTAGTGCCCTCATGGGTGGAATGTTATTACTTTTTTTCAAACGGTATTGTTATATTTCAGTCTTCTGTGATGTATATAAAGTGTAATATTGGTATGAAAACAAAAAATTTAATACATTTCAACTCTATATCTGACATGGTACAGTTGTCTTCTTTTTTTAAAGCCCATAACCATGTGTGTGAGGCGTATACTTTTGTTTAAAAGTAGATTTGTTTAAGACTACCAAGAAACACTCTGTGTGACCCTGATTTAGCCCACTGCAGTAAAAGGTGAATTAATATAAAGGATAGTGCTAAAAACATGAATATAAACTGGGTGGTTTGAGCCCTGAATGCTGATTGGCTGAAAGCTCTGGTATATCAGACCGTATACCACTAGTATGACCATTTATTTTTACTGTTCTAATTACGTTGGTAACCAGTTTATAATAGCAATAAGGCACCTCGGTGTGTTTGTGGTATATTGCCAATATACCATGGCTAAGGGCTGTATCCAGGCACTCTACGTTGCCTCGTGCATAAGAACAGCCCTTAGGCGTGGTATATTGGCCATATACCACACCCCATCGGGCCTTATTGCTTAAATAACAGTGTTATTGATTACACCTTTTTGGTTTTGTCAGCTCCAGGTGTGTGTGACCTTGACCCTCTTCTAACAGGTGTGTCACCTGGGAGGTATCCAGCACCTAGTGGACCTGCTGGACCACAAGGCTGTGGAGGTGCAGAAGAGTGCCTGCGGAGCCCTGAGGAACCTGGTTTATGGCAAAGCTACAGACGACAACAAGGTGGCCCTGAGGAACTCTGGTGGCATCCCCGCTCTGCTCAGACTGCTGAGGAAGACCACCGACAACGAAGTCAGGGAGCTGGTCACTGGTACGTCTCTCTGCCTCATTGTCTGTCTGTCTGTCTGTCTGTCTCCTTTTTTTGTTTGTTTTAGCTGTCTGCCTGTTTTTATGACTGTCTAGATCAGGGGTATTCAACTCTTACCCTACGAGGTCCGGAGCCTGCTGGTTTTCTGTTCTACCTGATCATTAATTGCACCCACCTGGTGTCCCAGGTCTGAATCAGTCCCTGATTAGAGGGGAACAATGAACAAACTTAGTGTAACTGGCTTTGAGGTCCAGAGTTGAGTTTGAGGGGTCTAGATCTATATATATGCTTGCTTGCTGATACAGTATTTCTTGCCTATCTCTGCATTATCAAGTGAGGGATGACAGGATACAACCTTATGGCCGCACCTCAGCACGTGTCCTCTGCTCACTACATCTGTGCCTATCCCCCGTTACCACTAGGGGTGCTGTGGAACCTGTCGTCGTGCGACGCGGTCAAGATGACCATCATCAGGGACGCTCTGAGAACCCTGACCAACACTGTGGTCATCCCCCACTCCGGCTGGAGCAGCGCCAACTACCGAGAGGAGACCAAGCTCAAGTTCCACTCCTCTCTCCTGCTGCGCAACACCACCGGCTGCCTCAGGTGAGGAGTGAGGAAGTCATCCCTGTAAGATCCGATGACTGTAAATCGCTTTGGATTAAAGCGTCTGCTAAATGGCTTTCTTCTTCTGTGTGTGTGTGTGTTCATGTGGCTGTAAACCTGTATGTATTGTCTATGTGGTTGTATTGTTGACCTGTCTGCTGTGTTTTGCCACAGGAACCTAAGTTCAGCAGGAGAGGAGGCCAGGGGTCAGCTGAGGGGTTGTGAGGGCCTGGTGGATTCCCTTCTCTATGTCCTCAAGGCCTGTGTTCACACCTCTGACTTCGACAGCAAGGTGGGCTTACTATAAGAGTAGTACATTTAGGCTAGTCCAGAAACAATGACATGCACCCCACCTGCCTGAACCCCCTCTACTTTATCCAGAATTAGACCAGCCATCTTCACTCAGTTTCTGCCCATCCATCTCTGCTATCCCAACTTAAACTTCCTGATCTTACCCCCTTTGTGTGTGTATATGTGTGTGTGTATTGTGTGCGTCACTGAAATGCTTCCCCCTCCTCTCCCAGATTGTGGAGAACTGTGTGTGTACTCTGAGGAACCTGTCCTACCGTCTGGAGATAGAGATGCCCTCGTCTTGCCTGCTGGGGACTCAGGAGCTGGATGCCCTGCTGGGCTACGGGTCCCCCGGTAAGGACCTAGACTACCTCTGCTGGGGCAAGAAGAGGAAGAAGAAGAGGAGTTGGCTGGATGATAAGGTGTGTATAGTATGGGGTTATCCACTTTCCTTGGCTGAGTCACACTTCGACACCTATGATAAAGGCGCCTGGAAATGTGTTAGAATTAACACATAACAATAGCTAAGACACATCGCTGATACATTCTCTCAACGTTTCCTTCCCTTCTATGGTGTTTCTCCTCCAAGATTTGATTAGAACTGACTGACTATCTCGCTCAGCCTCTTGCTTTTCATTATGTTTTCAGTGGGACGGCGTTGGGCCCATCCCGGGGTTTGGTAAGCCTCCGCGGGGGGCAGAGATGCTGTGGCACCCGGCCGTGGTGAAGCCCTACCTCAGCCTGCTGGCAGAGAGCTCCAACCCTGCCACCCTGGAGGGCTCCGCCGGATCCCTTCAGAACCTCTCCGCTGGAAACTGGAAGGTGCACAACTTTTTTTCATTGTAACCTTTGTTTATACAGGTTAGTCTCATTAAGATATCTGATTGAGTCTCATTGAGATAAAATCTATTTTGCAAGAGACCAACAACCCACACGACACTCATGTCTGTTATGCTTTGCTTTACACTGTTTATCTGGTATTATTGAAATGTTACATCATGATAATGGGACTGTGATAACATAATGGGACTTCCTGGGTAAATAAAGGTTAAATAAAAATACAATAGAAATCATAATCCCTGTGTGCAGTTTGCGGCCTACATCCGTGCGGCGGTGCGCAAGGAGAAGGGGCTTCCTATCCTGGTGGAGCTGCTGAGGATGGACAACGACAGGGTTGTCTGCTCTGTGGCCACCGCTCTAAGGAACATGGCCCTGGACAGCAGGAACAAGGAACTTATAGGTCAGACACGCACGCACGTGCACATGCGCACCTACACACACACACACAGAAACTCTCTCTCTTTCTCACACGCACACACTTATAAGTCCTTCATGTCCCCTGTCTCCCCACTACAGGAAAGTATGCGATGCGGGACCTGGTGAACCGTCTCCCTGGGGGCAGCCCCTCCCTGCTGTCTGATGAGACGGTGGCTTCTGTCTGCTGCACGCTCCACGAAGTCACCAGCAGGAACATGGAGAACGCCAAGGCCCTGGCAGACACGGGGGGCATCGAGAAGCTGGTGGACATCAGTAAGGGCAGGGGGAGGGGGTATTCTATGAAGGTGGTGAAGGCTGCAGCTCAGGTCCTCAACACGCTGTGGCAGTACAGGGACCTGCGCACCCTCTACAAACAGGTCAGATCACTGTGTCTTCGCAAAGTCAATGGTTTTGGTATAATCGCTTAACTAATATCAAAAGTTGGAGACTTGGCTCCATTTTACCTTGGAAAAACTGAACTGATCTCTGCTTAAAATACCTTAATATCCAGTTTTGCAGAGGTAAAACGTCATTGTCCTGAGAGTAGCTATTATCTCTGTGTTGTAGGACGGATGGCACCACGGTCATTTCATCACTCCTGTGTCCACTCTGGAGAGAGACAGGTACAGGTCTCAACCAACCCTGCCTACTAGCACCTTACAGATGTCCCCCGTGCCCCGCCAATCAGGTGAGAGCACTCAACTATCATGTTCAAACTACTCATTAACACACACCACAATGGACCTTCCCTCCGGGTCTGATTCCTCTCAAGGTTTGTTCCCTGCCACTGTGCTTCTGCTTGCACTTTGAGGTCTAGACCCGGGTTACCACCAGGGGACTTTTCACAGTCCCTGTGTCCAGAACAAATTCAAGGAAACGTACAGTATTATACAGAGCCATGAATGCATGGAACTCCCTTCCATCTTATATAGCTCAAGTGAACAGCAAACCTGGTTTCAAAAAAACAAATAAAGCAACACCTCACGGCACAACGCCTCTCCCCCATGTGACCTACTTGTTGTGTGTACGTACTGACATGTATGTGTAACTGATAGATGCACACACACACACCACATGTTAATGTTTTTAAATGTATGTAAATTGTAAAGTATTTTGTCTGCAATGTCTTTTTCGTTATATGTCAGGCCCCAGTAAGACTAGCTGTCGCCATTGGCGTCGGCTAATGGTGATCCTAATAAATCAAATCAAAATTACTGTAAAGCACTTTCTGACAAGTGGTTTATAAATACAGTGAGGGAAAAAAGTATTTGATCCCCTGCTGATTTTGTACGTTTGCCCACTGACAAAGACATGATCAGTCTATAATTGTAATGGTAGGTTTATTTGAACAGTGAGAGACAGAATAATCCTGAAAAACACATGTCAAAAATGTTATAAATTGATTTGCATTTTAATGAGGGAAATAAGTATTTGACCCCTCTGCAAAACATGACTTAGTACTTGGTGGCAAAACCCTTGTTGGCAATCACAGAGGTCAGACTTTTCTTGTAGTTGGCCACCAGGTTTGCACACATCTCAGGAGGGATTTTGTCCCACTAATCTTTGCAGATCTTCTCCAAGTCATTAAGGTTTCGAGCCTGACGTTTGGCAACTCGAACCTTCAGCTCCCTCCACAGATTTTCTATGGGATTAAGGTCTGGAGACCACTCCAGGACCTTAATGTGCTTCTTCTTGAGCCACTCCTTTGTTGCCTTGGCCGTGTGTTTTGGGTCATTGTCATGCTGGAATACCCATCCACGACCCATTTTCAATGCCCTGGCTGAGGGAAGGAGGTTATCACCCAATATTTGACGGTACATGGCCCCGTCCATCATCCCTTTGATGTGGTGAAGTTGTCCTGTCCCCTTAGCAGAAAAACACCCCCAAAGCATAATGTTTCCACCTCCATGTTTGACGGTGGGGATGGTGTTCTTGGGGTCATAGGCAGCATTCCTCCTGCTCCAAACACGTTGAGTTGAGTTGATGCCAAAGAGCTCACTTTTGGTCTCATCTGACCACAACACCTTCACGCAGTTCTCCTCTGAATCATTCAGATGTTCATTGGCAAACTTCAGACGGCCCTGTATATGTGCTTTCTTGAGCAGGGGGACCTTGCGGGCGCTGCAGGATGTCAGTCCTTCACGGCGTAGTGTGTTACCAATAGTTTTCTTGGTGACTATGGTCCCAGCTGCCTTGAGATCATTGACAACATCCTCCCGTGTAGTTCTGGGCTGATTCCTCACCGTTCTCATGATCATTGCAACTCCATGAGGTGAGATCTTGCATGGAGCCCCAGGCCGAGGGAGATTGACAGTTCTTTTGTGTTTCTTCCATTTGCGAATAATCGCACCAACTGTTGTCACCTTCTCACCAAGCTGCTTGGCGATGGTCTTGTAGCCCATTCCAGCCTTGTGTAGGTCTACAATCTTGTCCCTGACATCCTTGGAGAGCTCTTTGGTCTTGGTCATGGTGGAGAATTTGGAATCGATTGATTGATTGCTTCTGTGGACAGGTGTCTTATACAGGTAACAAACTGAGATTAGGAGCACTCCCTTAAGAGTGTGCTCCTAATCTCAGCTCGTTACCTGTATAAAAGACACCTGGGAGCCAGAAATCTTTCTGATTGAGAGGGGGTCAAATACTTATTTCCCTCAATAAAATGCAAATAATTTATAACATTTCTGACATGCGCTTTTCTGGATTTTTTTGTTGTTATTCTGTCTCTCACTGTTCAAATAAACCTACCAATAAAATTATAAACGGATCATTTCTTTGTCAGTGGGCAAACGTACAAAATCAGCAGGGGATTAAATACTTTTTTCCCTCACTGTATAATGTTGTTGATTTGACTGATTGAATGAATGGAAATGTCGCCACCACGGTGCTTCATTTCTGTGTTGACGTTATTGTGTCTTCTCAGGTGGTAGTGCAACCTCCTCCCCTGCCATGTTAGGGATCAGAAGACCCAGCTCTAACTACCAGAGGGCTCAGTCATCTATGCAACTCGATACATATTATGGAGACAACAGTTTACATAAAAACCAGTATACAGGTAAGCCATGAGGAAGATCTTTTTATTCACCAGTACATTTTTTGTGTACATTTGATATATTTTGAATGTTTCATACACACAGCTTAGTAGAATTGAAGACATGGTTGGATGAAGATATCATTTACTTACATTTTTGGATGTGGTTTTGAGGCAGGTTGTATGAACGGAGTTAACCATGCCTCATGCTTGTATTTTTTTCTTTGTTTTTACTTTCAGGGTCAGAAAAGCAAACACCATATTTTATCGGGTCCTATTCCTCACCATCAAGAGAGGACTATCCTAGGTCCCAGGTAAGACAAAAATAAGTTGTGGTTCTGGTGTCTTAAAGGTCCAATGCAGCTGTTTTTATCTCAATGTCAAATCATTTCTGCGTAACAATTAAGTACCTTACTGTGATTGTTTTCAATAAAATGTGTCAAAAAGAGTCGACAATAGCATCTTAGCAAAGAGCAATTTCTCAAGCAAGAATTTTGCTAGGACTGTCTGGGAGTGGTCTGAGTGGGGAAAACTAGCTATTATTGGCAGAGAGGTTTGGAACCCTCTTTTGTATTGGTCTGTTAACGAATTTACCGCCTGGTGACATACCGGGCACTCCAAAACTCCATCCCACCGAAACAGGCTGAAATTTCAGGTGGTCATTCAAACAGCTCTTACACTAAAAGGGCATTATCATAATTTTCACAATTTCACAGTATTATTCCAAACTCAGTGTGGAAATATATATAAAACACAGGAAAATCTCAATTTTGAATGCACTGGGCCTTTAAATTCTCTTTCTGTTACATAAAATAAGATTACACAACCCTGTTGTCCTTCATTGGGTGTAGTGGTGCCCACTGAGTCCGCATAGAGCCTTTCTTGTGTTAAAGGGATTAAATGTATCTTAAAAGTTTGTTCTTTCATTGTGTTCAGTGGTGTAGTGCAGGGTAAATATTTTATTTTGGAAGAGGGTTTACCCACCTTTTCTGGAAAAATGCATTGAAAGTATAGGACTGCGGACTGCAATCAGAGATTACCACCTATTATTTTTACCACTACATCACTGATTGTGTGTAATAGTCCCTCTCCTCTCATGTAGGACCCATGTTTGTTGTGTTGAAGGGATTGAGTTTGTCTTAAGAGTTTGTCTTTTGTTTTACCGGCAGGAAGATGTGTTCTACTCCGACGATCCGGATAGGAATACTTACAACAACTACAGAATGTATCTGTCATCACCGCAAGGTTACGGGGAGGAGGAGCCTGGGCCTTACCAGGACGAGCCAGTGGACCTGACCTCCACAGAGAGATACAACACAACCCAATCTAACAGACTGAAATCCAATACCAACACCACTAACTACGTGGACTTCTACTCCACCACGAGGAGGCCTTCTCAGAGGGCTAACCAGTACACTGGATCCCCTGACTCCTGGGTGTAGGGGTGGAGAAACCGTGTAGAAACCATGGACTGACTCATCAGTTTAAGCTACATACTGTATGTGTGTCTGTGTGGGGGAGGAGGTGTTGGTCTATCTGTGTGTGTTTGTGCGTATGTGTGAGATAAAAAGAGAAATGTGAGAGACAGAAAGAACATGAGTGTGTCTGTATGTGTGTGTGTTCATGTGTGTGTGATTCCAGTGGGAAAGACCTTGTTGTTTTCTGGAGTGGTGTAATGTCAGCCAAAGAACTTGTTCTATGATAGGAGAGTTTGTTCTAGTTTTTCTCAGCAGTAAGAAAGGTCTGTTGGCTTTATGATGAGGTTGGTTGGATACGAGCCAAGCATCCGCTTAGTTGGAAATGTGGAGAATGGAGAGAGTGCTGAAGAAGTGTTGCGTAAAAATAAACATTAAAGGGATAGTTTACTCAAAATACAAATTAATATGATGTTCAATATATGTTAGCTATATATAGTAAGGGCACCAAATAATGAATAACTGGCTTGGTGAATCGACTACAGCCAAATGGAAAATAATGTGAATTTGTATTTTGAGTAAAATAAATAATTTGTATGTTGGCCAAATATATATCATGAAGTCATATCTGTGAAATGTCAAATACTATTTGTACAGAGAAATAAAAACTGTTACACTGTGTTGTTACAGAACATTACTGTATTCAATGTGTAGACTGTGTATGTATGATATGGTGTCTTGTGAATTTTGTATGATTTATTTATTTATTTAAGTGTGTGAATTTCCCCCAAAACGCCCTGTTGTATGTTGTCCAACACTGGCGAAGATGTGCCATGTGTCAAATGGAAGTGTATGAAGATTAAAAAAGAGCGTATCATAACACTAAAAAAGATTCAGAAGTTGTGAAAATGAGGCTTGGTTAAATAAATCAGCTGTGGAATGGGAATTGCAGGTGTTGGTGATTTTTTTTGTCATCCAAACGTTCTTCACTTAGAGGGCGCGCGCACCCAGCTCCCAGAGAGCGCACGAGAGAGAGCCTTTCATCAGCAACACCAACTTCGAGGATGGATCACTGCTCCGCTCATGCATTGAACATTTCTATAGCTATGGGGGGAAAGGCGTTGTTTTGAAGAAACGTCGACGAACTAAACTTGACTCTTCTTTTTAACAGGTATGTTTTGCTTGTACTGTTAAGTGTGAGGTTGTCGGCTGTTTTGTGAGCCAACTTCTAGATGCGTGAAGTATCAGGGCATGACAAACCGTTACATTGTTTAACGTTACAGTTTACATAATCCTTAAGGTGTCGCGTCAAAGTTGTTATTGCAAAAAAAAACGTTTTTTACTGTATCATGTATGAATTCATTCTTAAGTAATAGATGAAATAACGGATTTCAACATGTGCCTCGCATTTGTTTTCAAGTCTAATTTTCTTTGCTAATCTGGAATCCATTACACATTGAGCTGCATCCATTCATTTTTACCATTCTCCACATTTCCATTTTTGTCAGGTTTCATTCCAGACCACTGTGCCTGATGAGGATATGTTATGGCTCATCATAATCCATATCTTCCCATGACTAGTGTTCCCTCATCTAGGAGTCTGTGGTCATGTGTCCGCAATAGCACTTTTTGCAGAAGGAATCATATATTTGCATTTACTATTTTTCACAGGACTCCCTGTAATCAGATTAACATGTTCAAAGCAGTATTTGGGAGGAGTAGGAAAGAGGAGAAGAGGAGCAGGAGGGATCCAGGTAAGAAAGAGAACAAACAACAACATCAACAACACTGCACCCATTACAGTTTGTGCCAGGTTAATAGACACTCACAGGGAACAAACACCTTTTCACTGACTATAATAGTGTCACATGATTTTGTTGATAAAAGGCTGGGTCGAAATTTCTACCGATAGGCTACTGATGGATTTCCGGTTCTGGGAGCCATGGGGATGGTTCTGGAATCTGGGTACTGTCTCTGTTGTATCAGTCTCGGAGCAGAGATAGTTTCTGGCGAAGTGAAACCAATCCTCGACGTTAGTAGGACTCGCCCTAATTGAAGACGGTAGCTACTTGGCTGCTCTGAATTTTCTGTCCCCGGGTGTTTGAGTATAGAGCCATTTCAATTAGCCTAATTAAGGAGTGAATGCTGCGTCCCACTGCTGTAAGTTGCTCTCAGACCTAAAGTGTGTCACGACTCACGAGAAGTTGGAGTGGGTTAAACAAACAGCCCTGACCCACAAAAAGAAGATACTGAAATGATCAATAACATTTTTGGTCATAAGGGACATACTGTACACTGACTATATAAAACATTAAGAACACCTGCTCTTTCCATTACACAGACTGACCAGGTGAATCCAGGTGAAAGCTATGATCCCTTATTGGTGTCACTTGTTAAATCCACTTCAATCAGTGTAGATGAAGGGGAGGAGACAGGTTAAATAATGATTTTTAAGCCTTGAGACAATTGAGACATGGATTGTGCATGTGTGCCATTCACAGGGTGAATGGGCAAGACAAAATATTGTGAGAATACAAGACAAAAAAGTGCCTTTGAACAGTATATGGTAGTAGATGCCAGGCACACCGGTTTGTGTCAAGAACTGCAACACAGCTGGGTTTTTCACGCTCAACAGTTTCCCGTGTGTATCAAGAGTGGTCCACCACCCAAAGGACATCCAGCCAACTTGACAAAACTGTGGGAAGCATTTGAGTCAAAATGGGCCAGCATCCCTGTGGAACGCTTTCAACACCTTTCAGAGTCCATGCCCTGATGAATTGAGGCTGTTCTTGGGTGCAGCTCAATATTAGGAAGGTGTTCCTAATGTTTGGTATACTCAGTGTATAGCTACAGTATATAGCTTTTTCTTACAAGTTTTAAATAATTTTAGTCAACCCTCTTTATTTTGGTAGGCTATAATCTATTATTCAGATTGATGCTGGGCTCCGTGTGCTTCCGCTGTGGGGTCGTGCCTATTTCCAGTAGTTATGTAGCTACTAGCTAGCTCCATTCTGTGAGGTAACAATAAGGGTGTTGTCAGTATCTCATAACGTGAGTGTTCACCCCTAGAGAAGTCTGGGCGAAATCAGAACGCACTGCAGATATATGGGTACAAAGTGAACATATTGCACATGAAATATTTAATGCATCTAATGTTGGCCAGCTACAGAACTCAAAGAAGTGTGTCAGTCTCATCTACCATCTTCCATGAAAGCTACCATTAATGCTTCTAGATCATTAGATTTAGTCCAAAAGGTGGTCTACCATGCTAATAATGGCATGTACATTTTAAATCATTTTCGATGTTGGACATAAAAAACTGTAAAATCACCAGGAAATCAGCTCAAAGTGATTTTAATGTAGGAAATCTGTTCCCAAGTATTCCCACGTATAAATAGAAGCATATGTGATCGTATCCCAATGTAATCAAAGTTTGAAATTATTCTTTTTTTGTTTAATACTATATCTGTTTGGGATTACTGCGGTCAATTTGCAGTGTACAAATTATTTATAACAATTTTCCGGTCGCCCGACCATCCGCTCAAGGAAAGATTGGCCCACGGCTGAATGTAATTGGCGACCCCTGGTCTAAGCCTATGGGTACATGATGAGCAGCATATGTTTCCCATAAGGCTGTGGTCTGTGTGTGTGGCCTGGAGGCTCGCTCAGAGGGATCAGAGAAGGAGCATGGAAACTTTGCAGCATGATTATGAGCCCTGAGTTTACAACTACTTATAATCAAGTTATAGCAATTCCCTGCCTAGTAATGCTGGCTTTGTCCATAACCTGTAAATTCTGCTTTTTAGCTCTGTGTATCCTTGCAGATTGTCGTTCAAATACATTATATAACGTAGATGACCATCTGTCTCCCTTCTTGTCTTCCACAGGAATGAGGTTACTGTATAAACCATGCAACATTTCAATGGACTGCTTTAATGTGATTTTGTTGTAGCATTACATACTACTCCAGCCCCGTTAATACTGTGTTATTATTACACTCTATGCATCAGGCGGAGCCAGTAACTGCAATGCACCCGCACATCATTGCAACTGTGCAGTGATTACATTTAGCATAGAGAGGAGACAGAAGTGGAACAGACTTTCCTCAAAGACCTGGGCTGCCAGTAGGTGGTCCGCTCTTCAAAGAGCCTGTACTAGACTTCAAGAATAGATCCGGTCTATAATGCTAGGGATGTCGTGCACATATTATTGCTCCAAAACATGTATTTGATGATCCTGTTTAAAGGGATAACCCACCCCTAGAAATAAACATTATTAAACTCCTGTAAATTTGGTGAAAGCCTATGTTCTATCAGTGGGTTAAAAAAGATGTTTCCCCAAGATTTAACTTCTAAGTGGTCCATCTGTGAAATCAGGAAATCGTGTAGTAACGAGTCATAGCCACATGGTTCTCGTCATTGGAGATAGGGGGTAACACACTATCACATTTCATAATGCTTTTCTGTGCTCAATCTAAACAGTGTACCAAATGATTCAACTCAGTTTCTCCTTCAAGTACCATCCCACAATGCGCCCTGTCTGTGGGAAAGGTGGGAAAGGGCCATTGTTGCCATAGCAACATGCTCTGCACTCACTCTGGGCAGAGATGAACTGCAAGTTGAACTCGGTGAGATAGACTCCTAAATTGATAGTGCAGTTTGTTTAAGCGATTTTACAGATAGCAAGCTACTTCACATGCTGATATTGACTTTGGTATTATTGTGTGGAGCTACGTTTGCTAATTAGCTACTTAGCTAGCTAACTAGCCAGCCAGCCCAGAGAGAGAGCATTGCATTGTGGGTTTTGTAGTCGACTTGAGCTGCAACAGATTTCCACTACGATTTTCACAAAATGAAACATTTGTTCACAAAAAATATTGTTTTCACATATTAGTGCTATTTAACACTGTTAATCATAGGAATTAGTGTTTTGGGGTGGATTATCCCTTTTGATAGGCCCTATTATTGATTACAGTTTCATTTGCTCTCTCTCTCTCTCTCTCTCTCTCTCTCTCTCTCTCTCTCTCT